TTTATATATATATATATATATATATATATATATATATATATATATAAATAGATGATGATATCTGCATGATATTATTTAGATTACTCTAAAAAGTATTTCAGATGTTTCAATTAATATACTCTGCATTAATGATTTTATAACTACATTTCAGCTAAAACCATTTTCTGTCTTCTTCATTATCTCATATCCAAAGATATGTCACTGTTGTTATTTCACAACTTGTTCTGACTAGTCTCCTCATCATTGTCGTTTTTATCATAAGGTTTCTACTATTCCTGTGCCTTTCTCCTTAACACTGCTGATCACCTTCATAGAAGTGAAAATATTGCATGAGGGGGAAAACAAGAACAATAATAAAATACTCATGGGTTCCAAATAGAAAGTGAGAGTACTAATAATTTGGGTAACTTTGGCCTGAATTTTAGGGATACAGAGTTATCATTGTCATATAATAAATTGTGCGTGTTTCCTACCTTCATTAGTTCACACAACCTTTACACCCTGCCAGTACTTCATAAATAATAGACTATTCTGCTTTGATGATGTGAGAAAACAAAAGACAGAGATACTACTTGATTTCAGTGAAAGAAAGAAAGAAAGAAAGAAAGATAGGTTTAACATCTGCTAATACCTCATGAATAATGGACTATTCTATTTTGATCATGAGAAGACTAAAGACATATCAAAGACATGACTTGCTTTCAGTGAGAAAGAAAGGAAGAGAGAAGTGTTTAACATCTGTTTCAGTAAAATGGAAAAAGTTGTCAATTTCAAATCTTTTCATTTGTACCCCCTTACTTCTTAAAATTACAACCAGCATTCATATTTATGATTGTTCTTGCAATATTTTGTTAAAGTTGTTAAGCTCAAATAAATATCATTAAATCCAACAGAGGAATTTCTATGAATATTTTATTGTAGTAAAACTCACTATGAACTTATTCAAACATTAACTGAAGAATTAAAATTCATCAGAAATTTAAAATTTGAAAACTCGTGAAATTTTCACAGGGTTAAAACACATTTATATTATTTATACTTGGGCTCCTCTTTTTTGTTATTATTACAACATTTCAGCCATCGTACCCTCTGGTGCTTTTCCAGTGCTATTGATCATGCTAACTTTCAGGTATAATATCATGAATCTTGTTACATAGTAATTGTGTATTCAATCAATGGACCAGATAGTACTGACTGACTTGGGGAAAACAGGGTGAGCAATAACTTAGCAATACTAAATAAGAAACAATGACATAATAGAAGCAATCTATCCTTGTAGATTAAAGAAAGGGTTCTGTATGAAATACCCTAAAGATTAAATGGATTGAATAGCACCTGAAGAAGGTCAGAGAGCACAACATTCAAAATGTTGTGACAACAACAAATATGAGATTGAGTGGAAATAATGTAAATAATAATTGGGAAGGAACGTTGCAAAGAATGGGAAAAATCTAGAAGATGGAAGGTGGTTAGGAGTTCTATAAATGGAGTGGTTGGAAAATGATTAAAAACAACTCTTTTGAACAATCACAAGACATCAAAGAAATAAAACTAAAAAAAAAGTCCCCATTAATGTCTTTAAGTAAAATGTTTTAAAAAAAGTCGAAAATGTTTCTATGAAATCTTGCCAACATTAAAATATAAATAAACATCCATGAAAAAAAAACAAACTCAAAATATAATAAGCAGAGTGGTGGGTTCATAATAACCTTAGAGGATGTTGAGAAAAATCCAAAAATTAACAGGCAATGTGGAAGGGATATTTGTTTGGCACCTGTGAGTAATACCAAAAGGGTGAGAGCAGTATAATTCGAGCACCTTGCCAGAAGCAGTCAGAGCTTAAATTTATAGTTTTTCTTGAATTTGAATAAAAGAAATCACTTTATAGATTTGAAAGTTAGGCAATCCACTCAAAAGTAACATTGTACTGTTTAGCTGACAATGTAAAATAATGCTATTTTAGATATCTCTCAGTTTCTTGTACTGAAATATTAACAGCAAATACATACAATTGTATTTCTTTTCAAATTGATTTGTATATTATTACTGCCTTTTTTTTTTTTTTTTTAATCGTTTCGCCTTAAGCAAAGCAATAAAGCCACTAAGCTGTAAGGAATTACTGAGTGTGAAAGAATATGAGAAAATGAAAAACATTAAGAAGAGAGAACAATAAAAGAACAGAAGACAATGATTGGCATTGCATTTTAATTTTTGAAGATCAAAGTTGACTGGAAAGCAAGAGGCTGGAAAAGAATTCCACAAGAAAGAAGGGTGAGCAAAGAAACTGTTAGCATAGAACTTATGGGGTCACATCTAGCAATTTCTGTAAGCTTGGCTGTGTGAATGGTGTAATGAATAATTGCTCAGAATTGTTAATTGGAGAGCCAAGTTGGGTTTGTTATATTCACTTGTGTGCAAATACATTTGGGAAAGGGACGACTCCACCTCTTCTCCCTCTTGCTATGGGTTAATTAGTATGACTTGTATCATGAAACAATTATTATCTAAAAAAAAAAATTCTTACATTGTTAAAATATTTTCTAGCTCTAAATATGCAAAAAATTGATAAGCTGTAGAAAATGATTGAATAAATCAATCAACTTCTATGGTAATTGATTTTGCCCTAAAACTTTTGCTCATCCATAGTTATGCTTTTAGCTAAAAAATATTATTTCCAATATAAAACATGGAAATTTGCAAGCTAAGTTTATAGATTCTGATACAAAATGAGTACAATATGGAGACTGTGTTGGTGTTGAGGACGCTTCTAGCCATTTATGTGTATGTGTAGTTTACTAATGATTCCTTTAAATTTTTGTCAGCTGAATTGAGTTGTTTTTTTAATTTGGTGCAAATTGTTGATTTTACTGTTCCATACTTCATACTAATTTATGTTTCATGTTTCAAAATTAATTCTATATAAATTTCTTCAGGGACTGATTTTCTCATTTATTGTTGTAAATTCATGGTTACGTTTTTCATAAAAAAATATTAAAATGATTATTTTCATGGTTACGTTTTACATAAAAAATATTAAAATGATTATTTTCATGGTTACGTTTTCCATAAAAAAATATTAAAATGATTATTTTCATGGTTACGTTTTTCATAAAAAAATATTAAAATGATTATTTTCAATATAAAACAGAAAATTTTACAAGCTAAGTGTTTGAGTTCAAAGTTAGGATGCTTGTCACCATTGGTAGTTGCATAATTAAAAGAAAAATCTTGTAGTTCCAATGAATGATTTATTTTTATGGAAATATTTCGACAAGCAGTTGCCAGTCTTGGTCACTCCTTAATTTGAGTAAAACCAGTGCAAAGAAGCTTGAAATGCTTAAGAATTCAAATCAAGGAAAACAAACCGAGTTGATGACATTTACAACGTAATACCAAGTTGAGGCATAAAAAAACGAATTTCTGTTTTTTACTCTAAAATTGCCATTTTTTTGTCATCTCCTCATTTTTTTTTTTTGTTATCTGTGTTGAGTTGCAGCTCAGAACAAACACCAAGTTTGTTGACAGGTTGCAGCTTCTTCAAGTCAAATGCTTGTGGCTTAAAAATTACCCTTTGGCCGATCATAACCCATGAGTGAAAACCATGACAATTTCTAGCAGTAAACCAGTTTTTCTTTTTGGCTATAAGCAAGCAAAGTTGCAATGAGGTGTAGGTGAGGTGAGGAGATGAACAGTCTAAAGGGTGTCTTGCCTGTCCTGTCATTCTCAGTGGGACCATTTTGTCTCTGTGTGTCTTTTTGTGGTACTGATCAGTTTTAAGAGCTAACATGGTTCTTCATCTCATCAACATTGTTGAACAAAGCAGTTTATCTTCATTTAGAGACTTCTCTGTGTCTGGGCCACTTCTGAAGCCCACTTCAAAATATTGATCAATCAAAAATAAACATTCCAAATCCATTTTTGTGACAGGTTCAGTTATTTTCTATTTAACAAGACTGCAGCTGTCGGATATTGTTACCTTAAGTTCACAGCTTCTGACAGGAAATGAGTAACATATGGAGACTGAGTCAGTGCTGAGGATGCTTCCAGTTATTTCCAGTCTACTCAGAGTTCATTCAAATCTTGACACATTAAGTGAATATAATTTAAAAAATATTCTTTATTCAATTTGTTTATTTTGTATGTTTTCTAGATATGATGCCTTAATATGAAGTGCTACATTCAGAATTTAGCCTGTAGAAAGGACTGAATTAAAAGAATTCTTCATCCAAACATAAGGACAGAAAATGAATTTCATAGATTTACACTTTAGTCTTGTAGAATGTAAACCACAGAATGAGTGAGAAAATATTTGAGAACACATAAAACAAAATCTTACTGAATATCACTTTAATAGTATTAGAGTAAAAAAAATACCAAGACAAAAACATGCATCAATAAAGGGGAATGACTTGAAGCAAGTCCCACCAGGCACATATCTTCATTTAAGTCAAATCTTCACACTGGAAAAGAAATATTCTTTCTTTATTTTATTTTTATCTTTCTCTATCGAATCTTATTTACCGAATCCTTTCTTCTGGCTTGCAGTGGCAAACTTAATTAATGATTGCAAAATGAAATAATTCCTTGCTGTTCAGTTTGTAACTTCTCTGAGCTGCAGGGTTTCTGCAGTAGCATAGAGAAGAAGTTTTTGCATCTCTATGTAATGTTAACAATATTTGTTTCAAGTGCGTATTTTGCCTTCTTTGGGATTCTCTTTCTCTCTTATTTTATTTTCATTTCTCATGACCAACAGCAAAGATTCTAAATATATCATAAAGATACTCGTTAAACAATGCCTTTTCCTTTTTGTATTTTTTAAAGCAAATTTTGTTTCACCAGTAGTAGGGATTCTAATAATGTTTGATGCATATAGCTGAAAGTAAAAGGATTATGATATATAAATGTATGTCTGCATATCCTTTTTAAGCATATAGATATTTTTATCTGTGTGTCACTCTGTTTCTACACATACGAATGTGTCTCTCTCTGAGTTTGTGTACATGTCAGTATATCTCTCTGTTTTTATGCATATGAGTGTCTCTCTCTCTCTCACTCTCTGCAGTTGTACACGTGTGTGTGTCTCTCTCTCTCTCTGCAGTTGTACACGTGTGTCTGTCTCTCTCTCTCTGCAGTTGTACATGTGTGTCTGCCTGTCTCTCTCTCTCTCTCTCTCTCTGCAGTTGTACATGTGTGTCTGCCTGTCTCTCTCTCTCTCTGCAGTTGTACACGTGTGTGTCTGTCTCTCTCTCTCTTTGCAGTTGTACACGTGTGAGTGTGTGTGGGTTTCTCTCTGTGTTTGTGCAAGTTTGTGTGTCTCTCTCACTCTGTACACATGCGTGCGTCTCTCTCTCTTACTCTGTACACATGTGCGCGTCCCTCTCACTATGTACACATGCGTGCGTCCATCTCACTTTGTACACATGCGTGCGTCTCTCTCTCTTACTCTGTACATGTGTTTTCGTATGTCTCTCCCTCTCTGTACATGTGTGTGCATATCTCTCTCTCTCTCTCTCTCTCTGAACATGTGTATGTGTGTGTCTCTCTCTTTCTCTCCGTACATGTGTACATGTTTTTCTCTCTCTTTCAGTACACATGTGTGTTCTAAAGCAATATTATTAAATATTTGCCCTGATGGAAAAAGTGAAAAAAATTCCTGATTCCTGTCAGGAGGCACATTTTTTTTTTAGGTAGAACCTTTTGATCTCTAGGAGGACATATAATGAGTAAAGAGGGCTTGAAGAACTTGACACTCACATGACAGATTGAAGACAAGAGCGACAGAGGAAAACAACACTAATGAACTTGGATAAATGAATGGCCGAACAGCTGACATTATAAGAAAAAAAAAGAAACTGGGCTGTCTACTCAATAGTTTATAGCCTTATATAGTAATAAGAAAATGGTGTTAGATTAAAAATTCCATTGACTGAATTAAAATTATATATAAATTGTATGCACTCAATGACAAAGTTTTACAGGAAAAGGAAACCAAAAGGACTCTTATACATAACATCAAAAAGAAAGTTGAAATTTCTAGGGCACATAATAAAGAGGGTTTGGAAAATTTGATACTCACAGGACAGATTGAAGGAAAGAGGGACAGAAGAAAATGATGCATAACCTACCTAACAAGCTTAAATAAATGGATGTTTAGGAGAGTTAACAAAAAAACAAAATTAATTAAGAGCTACAAAAGACAGGAAATTGTGGAGAGACATGATCACCAGCATCCTGAAAGAGGATGATACATAGAAGACACATCAACATAGTTATATTAGCACATATAGAAAGATCAATAAGTCCACAGCCTAATACTAGCTTTCTATTATTGTCTCTTTTCTTACTAATGTTACTCCATTCAACATGAATATTAGTCATATTGATTCAACATTAAACAGTGATATTTTCAGATCAAAATTAAACTAAAAATAATTTCAAACTATGGACTTATGCAACACATTCTCTCAGTATAGATCAGGTCAGATCAATATTAATGCTTACTTTTATAGATCTGTAGACTCCTATAAGAAAATTATACTTAAATAAAATATAACCAACTCCATGGGAACAACATGTATATAGTATATAAGTATATGTTATTTATGTATGTATATACAACATACATTATCTCTGCTGAGATAATATATACAAGTCAGTTGGCAGAAACTGATCCATATTTTTATGATATACATAGCTTACACAACTCTTCTCCAATCATATATATATATATATATGTATGTAACTGGCAAAGCACTGTGATTAAGCTTTTTATTAATTTTTTTTTCTTGCATTCATACAAGTGGTTTCTTTTTACTGGACATAGTGAGTAAAAACTATCCAAATGATGTATGGAGCCTAGTGCTTTTCACTAATCAGGTAGCCATTATCAAAGATGTTATTTTGTTTAACAGAATATTCAGAACTTTATATATATATTTGGGGATGTTTGGAAATTAAAAACCGCATAACTTATTCCTACATATATATTAATATAAAAATAAAAAAATATGAATGTCAGATAGTTTATACACAACTTCAAGTACAATATTTTAGACCTCATCCAAAAATTGAAACAATTAAACAGACAAACCTTCTGGGTTCTTTTTAATCTTATTTGGATATATTGGGAGGAAAGATATATTACAAAGTGGAAAAATATTTCATATAAAACTGTTCTTGATGCATAAAAATTGATATATTGCTATTCCATATATATATATAATTTTACATATTCAATTAAAGAAAAAAACCTTGATAATGTATAGTAGATTAGTCAAAGGTGCTCAGATCTACATATTTGGACAGTTTTTACACAATGTCCAGGAAATAAATCACATATATGAATGGAAGAAAAATTTAATAAAAAGCTTAATTGCTGTGATGTGTCAGTTACCTTCAATGAAACTTGTAGAAGAATGGAATTGCTGCCCAAAAGAAATTTCTGGAGAAAGCTTAATAAACCTTACTTTCAAAGTAACATTTATCATTATCAGTTCCTTGTAAAATGACTGTATCTGGAACTCACAGCAAATTGCCATGTTCTATATTAGCTTCCACTGATATCAGTCAATATTCATGATTTTCTAACTAGCCTGAATTATACGAATAAAAAAAAAAGCATTTATTTCATCAATATAAGTGACCTTATTATCCACAGATATACTCATTGTCAGTGACTTTGTTATTCAAGCTGTAGACTCTGTACTTGATTCCTCAAAGTTTGTCATATAGATTTATCTCATCTTGAAAAAGTCGTCTAGCAAAACAATGTTCAATTTTGATGCAAAAACCAAAATCAGAACAAAAGCTTCTTTATAGCAAGATATCTTGCACAAAATAATGGCAACTGTAGTAATTAATATGGTTGCCTCTCAATAAAGATGGCATCTTTCCTAAAGGTTGAATGTGTGGTGGGTGGTATGATGCATAGAAGCTTGGAGTTAAATATTGGAGAGCTGAGTTCATATTCCAGGTGAGTTCGTTACAGTCACTCACATGCAAATACACTTGGAAAACATGGATCCATCTCTCAGACTGAGCTCTATAGCCTTGGTTGGTGACCATTCTATCACAGAAAATAATGGCAGCCTCTGTAGTTATTCTCTTGCAAAATCAATCATGAATTGAAAAGAGATATGATTACCCAAGTGTTTATATCACACATGACAACTAAGAAAAGATATTACTACACAACCTTCATGTTATTTATTATCAAATTTTACTTACAGCTATATCATGTTGAGACATCAGTTCCTGTATGATCATAGTTGAGCAATGTTGAGTACCTTGATGGGTAACCACTTGGGTATACCAGATGGTGTAATCTTGGATGTGTGGTTGGTGTAATGGAGAATGGCTTGGAATTGTTAATCAGAGAACTGAGTTCCAATTCCCTTACATGCAAATACTCTCAGAAAAATTATGAATCCAGATTTGCATCACTAAGTCATTATTATCCCCCACCCACCAAAAACAATTCTTACAATTTAAAAATATTTTTTGGATTTAAATAACCTGCAATGGGTTTATAAGCTGTAGAAAGGAATCAATCAATATCAAATTTTGTATGGGGCACCTAGTGAGGATTGAACTTACTACTCAGTAGTAACAGTCAAGTTGCCTAATGTAGCTATCTCTCTTCCTATGCCAAGGTGTACAAGAATGCTTTTAATTTTTACATGAATGGGTTTTCTTTTAATGAAAAAACATTCTTTATATTATGAAATTGTTTTATTACTGAATTTCATAGATGAAAGTTTCACAGGTTCTACAAATAATTATACTCTTGTGTTTCTCTCTGGATTTACAATGTATTTATTGGTTTTAAAATGATTCTCTTTGTTAAGATTGACATCATGAAAGATTCTCATAATAGCACTCAGTATTCTTGGGAATTGTTCAGTTTTTTGTTTTCTTGCAAATAGTCAAAAATTCTAGTTTAGTTAGGTTCCAAGTCATTCTAACTGCCTTGCTAACCATCTTTGTATGAGCAGCTCCAGTCAGAAATATTATTACGTGTGTGTGTGTGTTTTTTTTTTGTTTGTTTTGACTGGTTTTCAACCAATACATGGTCAAAGAGCCACTTAAGGTAGACAGTTACTAACACTGAGATGGAGCAAAAGGTGCTTATTATGATAATATGTAGGGTAGATAATAGTTGATCATAAACCTGAAGAGGTTAAGATTATAGTGATCAAGAAAACATTCTGAAGAGGTTAAGATTATAGTGATCAAGAAAACATTCTGAAGAGGTTAAGATTATAGTGATCAAGAAAACATTCTGAAGAGGTTAAGATTATAGTGATCAAGAAAACATTCTGAAGAGGTTAAGATTATAGTGATCAAGAAAACATTCTGAAGAGGTTAAGATTATAGTGATCAAGAAAACATTCTGAAGAGGTTAAGATTATAGTGATCAAGAAAACATTCTGAAGAGGTTAAGATTATAGTGATCAAGAAAACATTCTGAAGAGGTTAAGATTATAGTGATCAAGAAAACATTCTCTTGAGAGTCCATCCACAACAGTTCTGGAGAAGAAGCTGTTTCGGTGAAACTTCATCATAACTAATGAAATATGGTGATTTTCTAAGTGTAACTTAGATGTAGCACAAGGCCAAAAGTATGGGGCACTCAGTGAGTATCAAACTCACTCTTCAGTTGTAACTGTTCTAGCAAGGCAAGCTTGCTAACCATTATACCATGTCAAGGTGCCCCATAACTAACGAAATATGAAAGGAATGTGGCTGAGTAAAAAATATACATGGCCTGGCGGGTTCAAGCTGTGAAGGTCTGGACTGGTTGAACTAAAGAATGTAGTTTACTTGAACATCTGCCATGAAATTAACAAGAGGGTAGGGTAGAAAATATCAAGAGGCTATCAATATTTCATTTTTAGGAAAGAGGTTGAAGAATATAAAACACTTCATCATCCATAAGGCTATGCAAACACTTTTAAACTCTATCAAGTCTGGAAAGTAAGAATTGGCCAACTCCAGATTAGATATAGCAACAGTATTCTATATTTTGTTTGATCTGGCTCTTGTAAAAGGTAGATCATGGTGGAAAGGAGTAGGTATTTTCTGGAGTGATACAAGAGACTGGCCAGTTTTTTTCAGCATTTTTAGTGAAGGATTGTTTATACAAGTGCCATTTCAGATCTGGAGTGAGCTTGACTCCCAATAGATATTCAAGGAAAGAAGCCTCATTGAGAATACAAATATTCATCATGACTGTAGTACACCTGTGGTCTGTTCTGTGAGGATGAAATATTACTAGCTTAGTTTTAAAGGTACAGAATGTTATAAGCCAGTTCCACCCCAATTGAGCTGTGGGAGTCAGGTCAGAGGAGTGATCAGCTGTCAGGCTCTAGTTGTCATTTTTGGTGGTGTGCTAATAAACCGTGGTATCATCTGCATATATATTTACTTATAATCTGAGAATGTTCTTAGGCAGATCATTAATATAAAGCAGAAATATGTGAGAAGCAAAGAAAGAGTTTTAAGGGATGCCCGCATTGATCTCATGTCCTTCAGAGGACTGGCCATTAACAATGATCTTCATGAAACTACAAAGCTTAGGTTGGCACAAGGCCACTGCAATTAGTCATCTTGTGACCCATTAAATAACAGCAGGCACTGAGTTAGAAATATTAATGATTATTTACTGAGTATAGGTTAGTCTGGCACAAAGCTAGTATAGTGGGACGCTCAATGAGGAATGATATCATAATTACTTTCTATTGATAAGTAAGATTAATTTGCCAAATTATACAATTTGCCAGAGTAAAGTAAATAAATGAGAAATATATACACATATGCACACACATTTCTTTACATGGATGGATGTTTGCTGGAGACTAATGGTTAACATTTATTTCTTATTTGTGCAGGTAGCATAGTAGTTAGTTACTGGCAAGCCAAATTTAAATTCCACCCTATTCTATTAAATTTTGCATTAATACTACTTTGGAAAAGCATAAATCCTTCTTTTTTCCTCCAAATTGTGGGTTAAATACCAAGATAGATTGAGCTTTCTAGCCTTGGTTGTCAGCCAGTCTAGAGAGAAAAATCACTGCCTTGTCCATGGTTTTCATCAGCAAATCATTTCACTATCTTACCCCCAAAGTCATGGCAATTCATAGGAATATGTGAAGAGCTATGATTGTCTATATCTTAAAAGGAAATGACATGAACAAAACATTACAAATAGTTATTTATTAAATTTAGCTTTGTCTTGCTCAAGGACGGGGAAAAAAGTGTGGATTGAACTTTATTAATAATAGCTTTTATAGCAGTGCTTTCCCTTATTGAAAAGGTGGATGCAGGTTGAATTCTGGTCGAGTTCCACATTTTTTTAAAGGGATTTCTTTTTCTAGGCCATTTGATATTAACTTCACAGTTTCTGAAAGAAAAAAAATGGGATGGCAAACTCACATAGATGAACCCATTAAAAATAATTATTATAATAAGAAAAGAAATAATTTGGATAGAAAAATTAAATATTACTGCTGTTTACATTTCAGGTATGAAAATGAAGTTAGCAGATATAGATTCATAGAAATCCCAAGAGATGTGCATTCCTTGAGTAGGTAATTGAGCTTTGCTGCTTTATTATGACAATTTCCTGTAGCCAAATTGGTAATGGCATGCTTTGGCTATAGGAGTGGTTTCTCTGATGGAAAAAGGGGATAGAGATTCAATTCCTGTCAGGAGGCACATTTTTTTCTTTAGTGGGACAGACTTCAAGATCTAAGCTGGTTAATATTAATTTCACCGTTTCAAAAAAAATAAAAAATAAAAATAACAGGTGTGATTACTAAAATAATTTTTATTGTAATAAGAAATAATTTTAGATAAAAAAGAAATCCACTTAAACTTAATTTTATATATATGATACTTATCTGTGCCAGTGTTAGAAATCCCTTTTCCCTATGTGTTGGTATATAAATGATTGAAATCACATTTCACTATGTGCCATTATATAAGTGAGTGTTTAAAATTTCTTGGCTTGACCACTTCCCAAAATCTGATAATAGACCAAATGTCAGATTTAAAAAAAAAAAAAAAAATTTTAAGGGTTTTGGTACCACTTCATGAAATGTTGCTAAAATAACATTAAGTAGTTCCTGTCAATAGTCATATGAAACATACTGCACCAGATTAATACCACAAAAATTACACCTGCACATTTGAAATTATATCTCTTTATTTGATTTACATTTCAATTGAAATGATTGATTCATTTTCTATGGTTTATTAATACTTTGAAGGTTATTTAAAACCAAAAAATATTTTAGCTTGTAAGAATTTTTTTTTTTTTCTAAAAATAAAGATTTAGTCATACAAATCTTACTAATTAACCCACAGCTGGGGGAGAATAGATGGTTTTATACCATTCACAAGGGTATTTGAGGATAAGTGAATATAACAAACCAAACTGGAATTGAAACCCAGTTTTTTGATTAACAATTCTGAGCCATTATCCATTACACCATTTGCTCATCCAAGCTTACAGCACCTGGTAATCCCAAACAGTCACCCATCTAGATACTCACCAGGCTTGGTGTTGGTTAATTTTGGTGATCATACACTCTAAATGGAATTTGAACTTGGCTCTCTAATTAACAATTTTGAGCCATTATCCATTACACCACCTGCACATCCAAAGTAACAGTATCTAGTTTTCCCAAACGATCACCCATCTAGGTACTGACCAGGCTTGATGTTGCTTAATTTTGATGATCATATGGGTACCAGTGTTTCAAGGTGATGTGACCATAAGCCCATTTTATATTTCATAGGTTTCTGTTCTCATATACTGGAAAAGAAATAATAAAATTAAAGAAATAAAATTAAATGGTGATTCTTGGCTCCCTTTGCTTTTTCTCTTTGTGTTTTTGCTTGCAAAAGGTGCAAAAATTGGCTTCTCATTTATATGATGTCTTTTATGGTCGTCAGTGCATAAAAAAAAAGAATTCCTTACGTTTTGCATGTATTTGATCAAATTGTTTCGCTTAATGTAGCTTCACTGGTTTTATTTCTAGATTAGAAAAAAAATGCCAAGTAGTACAATGTATGTCTGTATTGAATATTATTTGCTTCCCAGAAGGTAGGTAAAAGAAAGATAACAGTAGATAAATCAACAGAAATTAAATTCTATTTGCCTCACTTTATGAATTGTAGATTGTACAAAGTAAAACAATTATAGAATTTTTTCAGGGTTTCTTTTTGATCTTGTTCTTTCTTAATAACTAGTTTCATTAATTTCAATGCAGATGGTGTTAGCATCTTATCTATTTGATGCCATGACTGAAATACAGTTTCAGATGGTTGTAATGGTGGGGCATATATAAAGATTCTAAACTGATATTGTGAAATATATTTATCATGCACTCTTAATTAACTGTTCTCTCCAGTGGATCTGAAGGTAAGTCTTGCTTTCACTTTGTGCTTTGATTTCCTTTTTACTTATTTATTTTTTGAAAAAAAACAAAACTGTTGTATTGTACTTATGACTCAATTCCTTATGGGCAAAGAAGAAATGAACATTTCTGTTTTTATTAATTAATAACTACAGATCATTTGGACATATGTTCAGAAAAGAAATCATTTGTATGAGTGCAAGAAAAATTTAATAAAAAGCTTAATAGCAGTACCTTGTTGGTTATTTTCAAGGAAACCTGTATAAAAGAGGGACTGCTACCCAAATACAGAGTTATATATATTTTTGAAATAGAATCACATATTAAAGGATTAAAAGAGAATTTAGGGATACTCAGAAAATGCAGTTTCTGCAGAGATCCTTCTACAAATCCTCCGTAATCCTAATTGTTGAAAACTACTAGAACAAAACTATCAAATTTCTTACAGTAATAAAAAACATGGAAGAAAAAAACACAAAATTCCAAGGAAGAGTAAGTCACACTTCATTGTTTATTTCTCATCTTGTGGATGGATAAAGGACACAGGTGTGTTCCAAAATTCCAACTTTAAAAGGTTTCTTTTCATGCTTCGGTTTAATCAAAAGGCCTGCTAACATAAAATAAGTATCAGCAATCTTATTGACAATATTTTTACCATTTTGTTGTTTTTTTTTATTCCTCAAATTTCATTAACTGGCTATTAAATCTATATATTATAAGAAGCATACAAGGACCATCTTTTGTTTTATATAGGAAATACTGAGAGACTAGCTTATATCTGGAGGAAGCTTTATAATCCTTTCTTTGAAAATAGCATTTGTCGTTATTAGTTCCTTGTAAAATGGCTGTGTCTGGAACTCACAGCAAATTGCTGTTTTAATTGATTTTTAATGCACTAAATTGCTTTTTTGTTACAAGTCTATTTGAAGATAGTCTCTAATATAAAACACTCTCTTAGGACATTCTGAATAGAAAGATATCTGGGCATTGCTTAAATTGATTTGTCTGCTTGTAAAAACAAAAAAATATGGAAAATTTGGTGCTGGTAGAAATAAATTTTATATATTAGCATTATTTAAACCTTCCTGAAACCATAAAATTTATCAGAATTGCAAAAAAAAAAAATACTTTTTAATCATTTTTAGAAGCAGGGTGACCTGTTCATAATATAAATACAGTGTTAAATTGGCTCCTGACTTCATACAAATATCACGTTTGAAACTCTGTTTACGTCATTCATAACTGCATATCATTTAGGAATTGGGGAAAAGGATATCATTAGAAGTATGCAGTTGACAAGGAAGTAATCATAGTTTCAAACATCATATTTGTAAATAAAAGCAAAGTACAGAAAACTCTTTAAGAGTTTGGGACTTTATTTGATGTTATGTTTATATTATGAATAGAATACACTCTTCACTATTCTAAAGTAATTTTTATTCTGATTATTGTTGCAGCTTGACTGTTAATCTACAAAAATTGTTAAAACAAAATTCCTCCCTCTCTTTTATTACCGGACCTGTCAATTTAAGCCATGTTGATATGAAAATAATTTTGTGGTACATTTAATTAGATTTAATCTTCTTTGATTATGTAAAATCATTGAGTTTGTTCTCATCAACCTATTTAATCACACTGGCAAAAAAAAAAGTATAAATAAAAGAAAATAGTTTGAACAAGTTCAAATTTCAGTGCTCCAAATTTTAGCCCCTTGGAAATTTTCTACGAGATCTAAATTAATTTATATTCTATTTAATAGACTTGAATAAGTCAGAGGACATTTTAAATTAAGACAAAATTCCTCAATACGTGATCATTTATTAAAAAAAAAAAAATGTCTCTGAACAAAAATGGTTTTAATGATATGAAGAGTCAGGTTTATATCAGTGGGTTCTGAAAAGTTCTCAGTCTTTCCAAAAAACAAGTCTGATGTTTAATAATTTGTTCCGATTTTTGAAAAGGGTTGTGTTGAAAATTTTTCAGCACACCCTCTTATTGTATTTTTTTTAATTGTGACTTAAAAAAGAAACAATATATATATATATATATATATATATGCATAATTGGATTTAAACTATAAATATTCAGAACTTGCAGGTAACTCAAGTTTTACCATTAGGCTTATCAGGCTGCACAAGTCAATATCATTTATTTCCCCTAGATCCTGAACAATTATTTGAGCCATTGTGAATTTGTATGATATTTCACCTGCACACTATCGCAGAGGTATACAGATGAGGCATTAGATATCCTGGCCATATATTCATTCTCATCATATGAGACCTACATATATAACATTATATATATATATATATATATATATATATATATATATATAGAATCCTAAGTCACTCACTTGTATGTAAGAATCTTATATATAAGTGCTATAGTCAATGGCACTTACCTAATTTATAACCCCCTGAAAATCCCTTTCCCTTGAATTTCAATGTACAGACTCTATACTGAAAGTTGCTAAAAGAAATTTTGCACAAACAAAAAATATTCTGAAATTCTGACCATAATTATATAATCAATTTCTAATGTTGGTGCCAAAAATTGGGTGCGGTAGAGTAGTTTTAAATCCAGTGGGATATAAACTTATATATATACTATACATTGATATGTAGTGATATTAGCGAATATTTATATATAATCTGTACTTTTTTTAATCATTTCACCCCAAGCAAGGCAATAAAGTCAGTAAGATACAAAAGGGTTAGAATTAAAAAGACAGAAGATAACGATTGAAATTGCATTTAAATTTTTCAAGATCAAAGCTGACTGGGAAACAAAACACTGGAAGAGAGTTCCCTAAGCAAACTAAAAAATTATTAGCATAAAACTTAGTTACATCTAGCCATTTCAATCATAACATGTTGAGATCTTGCTGCCAATCAAGTACTGCATATAAATTCATAAAGTCTAGGTACCATAGAGCAAATTTCATCAGAACAATTACCAAGAAAGTATTTATAGAAAAGGCACAGGGAAGCTACATTACAGTGATGGGAAAATGAATGAAGTTGAAATGCCAGGTCAGGATTAATAACATTGCAGGTTCTTGTTTGTATATTACCAAGAATCTCAAATATATAGCAGAATTACCAGACCAGATGTGGCAGCAATATTCAATGCATGAATGAATGGCAAACTTATGTGTATTATTGTCATCTATTCACATATGTATATTTGCATATATATTTATATACACATGCATAACTGTGGATTCATAGGAAGGGAATTAAGATAAAAAATAATTATGTTACTTGTGTATGCATATATGTATCTCTGCTGAGCTAACATAAGTCATTTGGAGCAAATTATACATACTATTACATGATATGTATGAATGTTTTATTATGCATTTGTTAAATAAATCCTACCTGTCATATATAATATATATACATTTATAAACAGTGTTTTCACTCTCTCTCTCTCTTTATATATATATATATATATATATATATATATACACACACACACACATATCAGTTCAAAAAGTTTGAGGGAACTCCTGGTAATTTTTTTAAATTGGCCCAAAATGTACTTGTTATAGTGGAACACACCTATTCTATAGTTAATAGACTCTCCCACCTATAATATATAGGAGTAGTAAGAGTAACAAGTTAGTCATGAGTTGTTCAGTCAGTCGATGTTGGACAACCGTTAGTTAGATACTAAAGTATCAGCGGCCACGACTAGATTTCTGTGTCATTACCTATTATATCAATTTCCTAACGTTTTGTATGTCGAACCTATTTTAGGACCAACTTAGTACAAACAAGATTCCACTGTGAAACTACTCCATAACAGTACTTTAAATAAGAGAAAATTATTATACATGGTTGAAAAAAGTGAGTCATGATTATTTATTAGATATTTTATTATAAAAAAGAAAAAAAAAGCATTTTCTCATTAATATTTTCTATCGTCAAAATATCCTCCTTCAGTCTTCATTACTGCATCACAAATTTTTGGTATTCATTGTAAAAGTTTCTCAAAGCATAACTTTGATAATTGATTCCATTCTTTTTTCAATGAGTCTTAGAGCTCTTTTTGCTTTTTTTTCACTCTTTTCTCAAGTTCATTCAATGCTAATTCTGGGGTAGCTTTAAACTTTGAACTGTAGTGTATACACACACACACACACACACATATATTTATATATATTCTTAGTCAGGCACATGGCCGAGTGGTTAGAACATTCACTTTCTGACCATGAGACTCGAGTTCAAATCTCACCACAGTCGACTTCCTGATGTTATCAGACTGGACAGGTTGATCCCAGCATGTGGCACCTTTGGAAAGTGTCTGAAAACCAAGCCTTGTGAGTGAAACTGGGTAGACAGAAACCTTGG